TTAACCATAAAATTGCTAGATTTCAAAATAAAAACAGAAGAGTGTGCATAACAACAACCTCTAGAATCTAGAATTTACATCAGTTCCAAATGAAATTCAGTACTCATCATGAACATTAGCCACCTACTGACAGCAACTAAGAGCTGCTTTCCCTCCAACCTCCAATCTCTTGCCCACCTTCCTCTTCTTTCTGTGATATTCAAGCAATGAGCATGTCAGAAGTTTATAAAAACAATAGCAGCTTATATATAGCTTTCAGCTTTCTTCCTCCGAACTGTCTCTATGGACCATACGTCGATTATCTCGGGTTTAATCATCTGAAATAGGGTTCTATGGCCCTGTTTATTTAGAGATTATATGCTGTTAGCTAGGGGGATGTAAATAGAGCATATATACCTTGAGGGTGAAAGTAACACCAACTTCAATTTCTCCATAATAACTATTCTCAGCATCTACCACACTGTATTTAGTACAGTGTAGCTCAGCAGCTCCATTTTCTGATCCCTGTGCCAATAGATCCTCGACATAAATCCTGAATGTTGAATATTTATGGATTAAATTAAATGTCACCATTCCTAGTAACATCTTTAGCTAAACTGATCAAGCCAGATATATACATAACCACTGAACAAACAATCTAGCGAATGCAGGTATGAAAAGGAGCTAATGCTTTTCATGAATCATGGCAAGGCCTTACGTGGCTTGCCCGATGAAGTCATCAGCAGAAAATTTGTCCTTGTCCATGATTTTGAGGATGAGCTTGTATTGGCTGCCTGACCCAGGATACTCCACCCTGAAGGTAAACTTTTCGTTCCATGTTGGGTTCGACCCCTTGCCTGCACCATTGATTCTCCCATTAAGTACTTGTAGAATCCAGCGGAAAACTAAATGCAGCACAGGAAACAAAACCATCTTTTACATCCCGCATATGCAAGCCTATCCCTTTTTTCCTCTTTACCTCTTCCATGTTACCAACAACTAAAAGAACTTTCAATCCATTAATCAGATATACATTTAATCAATCCCCAAATGTCTACTATCTCACCACTTCTAACAAGTCACTACTAGATTATCTTTTCTTTTTCCTCGTTTCCCTAAAGTTATTTTGTGTTAAATGAATATAAAATAATAAGAGAAAAGTGGTGTATATGATAATAACAATATGAGAGTGGGGAGGAAGAATTAGAGGAAATGAATGAGAACCTTGAGCCACACTGCTCTTCCTTTCTTGACCTTTGTATTGAATCAGAACATAAGGATCTATTCCACCTGCGTTCCACATAAAATAGAAAATGGGAAATTAAAAAGGGAGAAAAGGGAGAAATCCAGGAAATTTAGCACCCATTAATTGTTGAAACAGAATATTATGGTAAGAACTCAGAAGGAACAAAGGAAAAACAAAAAACCCTCAATGGTTTTGAAGGTCCCAGGTCAGAGCATGATATACATTCTTTCTTCTTCTTCTTCTTCATTTTTATTTTTTCCCTCTCTTCGAGGCAACAGGGCAAGATCAACCATAAACATGAATTGAAAATGAAGAGAAAAACTGACCTAGGAAATCAGTGTTTTGAAGACCTTTTGCATTCGCCAGAAACACCTCCATGAGCCCAACAGCCATCGCGGATTGCTTGCTACGCAATAGTTTGTCGCTGTTTCAGAACTGTTTTTTTGGTTTGGTATGACTTCGACTCAACAGTCAACACACTTAACAGGAGACTTGACTTGCCCGCAGCCATCGCATCTCGAGAATTGCTACAGTGACGGAGAAGAAATCGCTTCGTCTTTGGTTGTCCTCACGTGGCGCGTTAGATGAGCTCAACCTAGGTAGGATGTATATTATGTAATTTTGATTGGTGTTTTAATATTTTTTTAATAATAGCATCTGTTAATTTTTTATTTTCTTTATATCCCTTTGTATAAAAAGAAAATGATATTTTATAATTTAGATTATATATTAAGAAAATAGTTTAATCTATAATTTTATTAAAATATTTTTAATAAAATTATTTTTAATATTATTTTATTAAAAATATTTTTAAAAAACTTTTAATCAAACTATACTCTTAACATATAATTCATTTTGTAAAATTTTTTTATTTAAAAATATAAAAAAATTATATAATTTAAATTATATCAAAATACATAAATCTTAATATTAAATAAGAAATAAACTCTCTAACATTAGAGTTTTCTTTATCCAAAAATTTTTATTTTATAATTCAATAAATTCAATCTATAAAATAAATAACTCTTAAAGATATAAGGCCTCATTCTTTACAAATCTTTCTACAAATCATTTTCACAAACACTTTATTTAAAATTTAAAACTCATAATTGCTAATTTTGAATTATAAGAGATGAAAAAACAAATAACTACAATTACAACCCTGCACTGATAAATGATAATTAATTTTAATGTTTTAATATAATTTTACTAATTTTAATAATATTTTATTTTATAAACATTAAACAGAAAGCCTTGATTTGAAGAACATGAGAGACAGACGAAGTCGCAAACCTCTAAGGCTTTCTCAAGCAGAGAACTTAAAAACACTTTGATTGTAGACACCAAAAAATTAAAAATTTGAACACTAATTGTTTGTAACATAAACATTAAATCCAGCAATAGAAGTTTCCATAGTTTTGATGCAGGGGACTTCATCATCTTTCCAATCATATAGATTCCACCAACATTAACATATAAATCAATAGAAACCTAACAACCAAATATTTGTCCCCTTTTGCACTTGCGGCTTCGGCTGCGTTGGAAGTGCACCATCCCCTTGGCGTCTATGTCAAGGGTTCTAGCTGCCAGTGCTGCAGCAATATTATACTTACTCCCCTATCCCCCAATTTCCCACTGATCAAAAAAAAAAAAACAAAAATTGTCCCCTTTTACTTATCTTGGTCCTACTTCCTTGCTGCGCCTTGGAGACAGGTCAGCTGACCTGGACCTGGAACCAGACCGGGACCTGCCAGACCTCCAAGCATCCCGTGCTTCCTCAGACTCGTATGTAGGTTTCCTACAAATGGCACACATCTGAGATCAGCACATACAGCCAAACTGAAAAGGAAGGAGAACCTTCAAGTAACAGGGGATAATGGAAGTGAAAAATGGCCACAAATTCAAAGTCACAATGGCACATTATCAAGGCTTTATTTCACCCATTCTGATTTGCAACTTAACAGTTATGGTGTGTTTTGGACTAATGCATTTATCCTCTAAACAATGTGAACGACCTGAATTTTCTACATTACCAACCAGATGGCTCCATAACACTGATTGTTTTTTTCTTTGGTGCCAACAGCTTCATAATACTGATTTACAAGGGCTGCATTTACTATAATGACAATGACATAAAAGGTACAATAGGAAAACCAAACTACCAAAGTTTTCACCACAGATCAAATAAATCCTCTTCTGGACTAGTAACTATGAATCTTTCCTTAAGGCATAATACAAAAACAATTGGATTTAGTTGACACACTATATGGTTAAACTAAAAAGACTTAACAGTACAATAGGACTTCTACTTACTTTCCATAACCATTTCCAAGTTGATTTTGATTGACATTGTCATATCCAGGAGAATAGGCTCTGTGTTTATAATCACCATCTTGCTCTTGTGGAGGACCCCTTGGTGATCTTGGGTACTCCTCATATCTTTTATGTGGAGAGACAGGAAAGTCTCCATGTCGTCTTGGAACAGGAGAGTATGACCTGAAAAAATTAAAATGCGAGCTTACCCTCTTTATTGGCGTTAGAAGGATGTGATGACACTTTCTAGAACTGAAACCCTACCTTGAGTGATATCGGCTTCTAGAACCTGAAGGCCTGTGAGGAGAGTGTAGAGGGGAAAGTGAGCGAGACCGAGAACGTCCTAATGTTTATTGGATGAATCATAGAAATTAGTGTTGGAATGATTAACAATCCAATAACAGTTATCTTGCACAGAAAAAGTGTTAACGTGTTGATAACAACATTATCATAATAAGATTGTCTCCCATAGCCTGATCCTCCCCTGCTGAATTACAATCCAAATAAATCTCCAACAAAAAAAGAAGCAAGTAGCATTGTAGTTTGTGTACGTGTTTGTATGTGAAAGGAGAAAGAACAAGAGGTTACCTAACCCTGGCTCTTTGCCACATCTCCTCAGGTCTTTTCCTAGTCTCTGCAGCAACAACAACAGACACCTCTCTCCCGGCAAAGATTTTTCCATTCATCCGATGCTGAGCTTCCATAGCATCATACGGATCCACAAACTGCACAAATGCAAAACCCCGTGGTTCCCTGCAAAAAGCAACACTTCACTCAAAGCTGCAACTTTATACATAAGCAAACATGGATGAGAGGCTTGTCAAAACTAAAACGTAAGTTATTACCACAATCTCACTGCATCATTTACCTCCACAAATCTAAATATGAACTCTTTGGCACTTTCACATGAGTGGACACCCAATTTACATAAAACAGGCTTAGTGGCTAACCTTTTTCCTTAAAAGTCAAGTACGAAAGGCAACTTCAAAAGATGCAAGTGACTTGAATATTCTTCACGTGCTTTTGTGAACATACAAAGCACGACTTCACACTTGACATCAACATTGCCCCAAACTTAAAACTCTCTCAAGTAGTCTTCATTCTTCAATTGATCAGATATCAATCTTCTTCCTCATCAAACGTCTATTCATTGTGTAATTATATAGTTTGGCTCCATAAAGAACATCCTTCATATGACCATTACTCTTTTTAACACCCTTGGAACCAATATTTAGCCAATTGATAAACAGTGGATCTTCATCAAATTTGGGGCTTGAGCTTGTTTTTACTTCAAACTAACATGCCCCCTGACAAACCAGTTCAAAATTCAATCCACTATGAAAACAAACACAAGTGCTTTAGTAAAAAGTTCATCATGTAACTCAACTCAATTGAGATAACTTACTCATCCATCCCAAAAGCAGTTCTTTAAAATGCTAAGATGATATTAAGAAAACTAAAAAGAAGAAGAAAACCCATAACTTCAACATAGACTAAGTAAAAAAAAAAAAACACAGGATAATCCTGAAATCTCTGAGGAGAATATTAATATACCCACCCTGTGTGGTAGTCTTTGGGAATATACACATCCCTAACATGCCCAAATCTCTCAAAAGGGATGCGCAGTTCTTCTGGTCTGCATTGACAAAGAAACAGCATTAGGCAATAGAACCAAGCTGTAACAAAAAGCATGAAAAACCAAAGAATCACCTGCAATCAAGAGGAATGTTCCTAACTAAAAGGCTCCCCTGATTCTGCTCCTTGCGTCTGGCAAAACCACCGCCTCCATATCCCCTCCTTGTGGGGCTTCTTTCTCGGTCACCATATCCTCTCCTGGGAGGACTGTAGTACGCCGGACTATA